GACGTGAGACTTGGGGGCAGCGTGTAGAGGTGGTTGATGAGGCTAGGCACGTACTGCATGGCCGTGAGGAGGGCCTGAAGCGAGACACCGGTCGTCAGCATGTCATTGAGCTTGCCAGCAATGTGCTTTGCCTTGTCGTTCAGCTGCTTCTTCATCCACTCGCGACGGCCAATCGGCGTTCCCAAGACCGTCATGCCCGTGTTGGCCGTCTCGCGCACGGCATCTGGCAATACAGACTTCATAGCAGTGATGGAAGCCGAATGGCGGCAAGGCATGTAGAAGCGGCTCTTACTGGGCTGCAGATGAAGGCCAGCAGACTCTGCACGAGCCTTGACAATCTCGACATCGGCCGCCACGTCCTCCGCGGGACCCAAAGCGACTCCCCTCCTCGCTCCACCGCACTCCGCGCGCCCACCCCTATCGCCCCTCCCGCGCATGATGGTGACGGTGACACAAACGGCAGTGCCACGCCTGAGCCATTGGTGCAATCACCTACACCCGCTCAAATGGTGCTGCCAGATCCATCGGATACACAGCAAACCCATTCCGATCCCTCTCCGCCCTCGGCTTCACCCCCTGCCACTGCCATTTTGCCCGCTGCCATTTCACATCCTGTCGAACACAGTGAGCATGCAAACTCAGCCCCACTTGGCGAAGTCAGTGAGAGTGAAACACACGATGCAGCGGGCGAACACAGTGAGAGTGAGCAAGATGTTCTTCTCAGCGATCCTGCTCCGCCCATCGCTGCCAACGTGCTGGATGCCCAGCGCAAGGTCCTGCTGAAGACATCTGGCCACAGGCAACTCCTCGCCTGCCCATTTGGGCTTTGCAAATGCAAGGGGCCCCGCCTTGACCGCAAAGCCTGGGTCAATCATGTACTACGCGAGCACCCCTACGACGAGCAAGCCACTGATCTGGTCAAGCAGGTGATGGAGGCCAAATTGGTCGCCCAGTGCAACAAGTGTCACCTCTTCTTCGAAGCTACTGGTATCAGTCAACACCGCTCCCGATGTGGTGCCAATCTGAAGCGAGCGACCGAGGCGTTGTTTCATGCGGC